TAGACTTTAAAACCAACCCTCCGCTTTCTCAATGATAGGAGACCACCTCTTTGTGAAAGCGATATCTTTTTTTGTTTTGAATGAAGCCGAGACCCGCACACTGCTTGTTTTCAATACGACCATGTTCATAGCAAACAGCCGGTATTGACAGAAAGCAGTCCAGACTTCTTTAGAAGCATTGCCCCATGTAGGTAGGAGGTCAAAGGCGGCGTGGACTAAACACAGCCAGAGCCTTCAGTAGAAAATTGATTTTTGCCGTAAGCCATGAGCGCCGGCTGTCAGACAGATCACCTCAAAGATCGAAAATAGTTCTGCTAGTAAACTAGGCAACCTTTTAAGTGATACTGTGTACCTCAGAAATTCAAGGTTCAACAAAGTAGTCCTCGGTGGCATCTAAACAGAACTGAAATGTTACAATGGTGATTCTAAGAGTTTTGAATCATTCATCACTTATTGATTCTCTTGTGCTCTCCTACCACACTGGCATGTACAAATAGAAACACACACACACACATACCCTCTCGAACACTTGCCTGGGTTCCCCTTCTTCCTCCTGTGCTCAGGGCTGCTGCGGGTAATGATTCAGTTCCTTTTTGGTTGCCGACCACGTTGACAACATTCTGGTCAGGGGCTCGGCTGTTGCTCCTCTCAAAATCTGGATGTGGTCAGGCCAGTCATCTCCCAGGCAACCAGGAGGAAACCCACATCAACTGAAAATCGCTGGGGCTCCAGGAATAGCCCAGCTCAGGGAGGTTACCCTGGCAGCTTCCTCTCTGCCCTTTCTCCTCCCCTCCAATCTTCAGCCTCCCCCTAAAAAGACAGCCCTGGCCCACGTCTTGTAAATAGTGAGTAGTACAAGTGGAGGCTCATCAGTTCTGGTTTTGGACCTGCCCCGGTATCTGGATCCGCATCAATAAACACAAAGCCTGCTGTGATCTGGGCTCTGCCTGCAGTGAACGTCTTCATTAGAGATGATTGATCATTATCATTAATGTTGCTGAACATTTTTCATCAAAAGCGGCGCTATATAAATCACATTTGCTATTTGATTCGGTTTTCATTATGGAGCCGAGAGAGACATCGCTCTCTCTCCTTGAAATATCGCTCTGGAGTTTCCCTCAAGGCTTTGACGAGTTGTAACTTTGATGTCTGTTCATAAGGCCACCTAAAGGCCCTCGCTTTTTAAGAAACATCATGAATTTACCTGTCATGCTTTGTGCATTTCTCTCTTTGATCACTAGCAAAAATAATTCCAATGCTGTTAGAAGGTGCCGTGTAGGAGTCATAAGCAAGAGGTCTTTGGCTCAATCTACAGATGGGTTTTTAGGGACATTTTTACATTAAGTGCAGTGACAAGGAAGGCGGTAGCATCTCATCCTTTAGTGCTTTGGAAAACCCTTTTGTTTGTGCGCTCAAAGAAAAGCCCGGTGTGGGGTAAAAAGTGGGCCTCACTCTTTCAGTAAGGGGCCTATGTTGGTTTGGGTCCCTCTGAAGATCCATTTTTGACATTTCTTAGTGTTATTGATGTTATATGATATTGAGGACTTACAAGGCATTTGAGATATGTTTAGCTATGTGGGTTTTTAATTCAAATAATTTATTGTTTCTCTCTTTTTCTTACAGGGTTAGACAGGCTCAATCTATTCAGATCACATGATGCTCCATGTCTTCATTTCAATTTAGGTGAGCACATGCTTATATTTAATTTATATATCATTTAATATTGCAGCTAATTTCCTGCCTCACTGCATTTGCCAACTTCTTCAGTATCTTCAGTCTTGTGGACGCATAAATGTATAATGAACAAATGCGATAAAATAACAAATTCAGAGTGTTCGGATTGAATAGAAATTTTTCATAGACTGTCAGCTTCCACATCAGTGTCTGCTGCAAAGCCATTACACTTTAACTTGCCATCACATTTAATCTGAAATGTGCAGAAATGTCTGCTGCAGCACTTTGAAAAGAACCTTAGCTCAGAACTGTAGTATCTTCAATACAAGCCGTGTCTTATGTGCTGTCTAACAGGGCCCTGGACTGAGCAGTGACTGTGGAAGGTTATGAATGGAACGTGCCGGAATTCTTATAATGTTTACAGGTCATTCATGTGAAGTTGTGGGCTGGGGTTTCTCCTTGGGGGCAGACAATAGTGTTGCAGCAGGAAGCACATACCTCTCTCGAGAGCCTCACGGCACACTCCCCCACCCTATTATAGCGCCACACACAAGAAAATAAAAAACGGAGCAAATTAGGAAGGCTTAATGGGCTGGTAGATGCATGTATATTTGTAATACTTGCATCACATGAATTGTTTAGTTTACTTGAAGCATGGCTTTTGTGATTCGTCTTTACAAAGTGTCCATTCGTGCATTTAATTTTCAGAGCCTGTTGTTGGTGCTGCCAGAAAAAATACAATAGGAATGTAAATGGAACAGAATGAAACAATATAGCTGTCAACATCAGCTGTCACTCTGGAAATGAAACAGCAAATTTTGACAGAATTTTTAAACCCTAGAATCCAAAGCACTTTACGGTCAACAAGGCAGACAGTCAGTTTTTCATTTAAACCGCATAATCATAACTCTAGCATAGCATAAACTAAAAGCCCACGTTTAGAAGACACAACAACACAGAGATCCATTCTACAAGCACCATTCTATTAAGGCCACTCTCACATGACAGTTCACTGCTCACTAAATGGCCTTAACTGTTTTATAAACACTCTCTTACAAAAGAGTACTGTGTCCGTACCATGGTACAGTGATAGTATCTTGTCGTACTTTGATATATGGGTCAATGGTGTGACGCTCATTTTTGTTTTTATCTTTAATTTATCTTTTTTAAGTTTGGGTTGGTAATATTTTTAATGTTTTTTCAAAAGAAGTCTGTTTGTTATATGTTAATCAAGGCTGCATTTATATGATCAAAAAATACAGTAAAACAGTAATATGAATATATTAGTGAAATAATAATATTAATAATAATAAAACGTAATTCATTCCTGTGATGGAAAAGCTGAATTTTAGCAGCTATTACTCCAGTCTTCAGTGCCACATGATCCTTCAGAAATTATTGTAATATGCTGAATTGGTGCTCAAGAAACACTTCTTACGTTGAAAACAGCTGTGCTGCTTAATATTTTTGTGGACACTGGGATACATTTTTTTCCTTCCAGGATTCTTTAATGAACAGCATTTATTTGGAACAGAAATCTTTTGTAACAACGTAATCGTCTTTGCGGTCACTTTTGATTTAATGCATCTTAGCGGAATAAATTAAATGCATCCTTGCTGAATAAAATTATTCTTTTTTATTGAATTAAATTCATTTCGATATTTTGGTAACACTTTAGATTAGGGAACACATGTTCACTTTTAACTAAGAGTTTTCCCTCAATAAACTCCTAATTTTCTGCTTATTAATAGTTAGTAAGGTAGTGGTTAAGTTTAGGTATTAAGTCGGGTTAAGGGATCTAGAATATGGTCATGCAGCATAAGGCATTTATATGTGCCTAATAAGTACAACTAAACAGCCAATGTGCTAGTAATATGCATGCTAATAAGCTAGTTAATATTGAGAATTGGTCCTCAAATTAAAGTGTTACCGAATAGCCTATTTTTAGGGTTATTAAAACTAAACGATATTTATATTTTAGGGGGAAAAATTTATTCGTTTTTTTTTATGGTTACACCACCACTTTTTTCTGTGGGCACAATTATTGGTATTCATTGACCCATATACCTTGATACTGAATGAATGCCATATTATTTTACTATTTACTGTACCTTAAGGTACTTGATAGATAATTATTTGCAGGCAAGGTTCCCATTAATCAAATTTACCCCTAAATGTCCATCCTTTTACCATTCTAGGATCAACCAGACACAATTAGTCAATCCATTGTCTCTTTTTCATTAAAAACCGTCAGTAGTTCTCTGGCCTCATGCTGTCACTGTCCCACGGTCTAATCAGACTGCTTATAGAGGGCCGAATGTTGACAGCGAGCAGGGAAAAACCACTGGAATTCAGGTTAGGAATGAACTCCCTAATGGAGTCAAGTGACCATCAGCTGGTTAAAATATGTTTGATCAATACAGTCACAAGGTCTCAGGTATGCAGAGCTGGAGCCTTTACAGAAAGGGGCAAAGACAGCCTACAATGTCTGCGTGCTCCTGTCAGTAAAACGACTTTATTGTTAACCAGTACTATAATCTTGTACATAAACGGCCTTACACTCTCAGCATCCTTGCCAACAGGAAGTATTTAGCGCTATGTGAGTCACTCTCTTTTGTTTGTCTAGCTGAGGATGATTTAATTAGTCGACGACCCAATCAAAGTGCACCTTTGGCGGCTAACAAGCACCCACTTCTAATTAATAAGACTTGAATGGAGCGCTCTGACTGATGTAGCCTAATGCGTGCCAAACCACTAAGTGGATTCGGGAAATAATAGTCGCAAAACCAGGCTTACATTTTCATGATATCTAACAGCCTTAACACAATGCTCAGGTCAAAGAAAAAGGTTTATGGTGCCGTCTGTTATGAGAAAAATGCACGATGCAGGTCTGGTTAGGTTAAAAGGGTGTGATGAGCACCTTTAAAACGCACTGGAGCCGTGGACCCCGTCTGCCTCCCTGCCTGCCGTCCTGCCTCTAGGCTAATGGGAAAGAATGAGAAATATTTGCGAGAGTGCTAACGCCATGCTTAAAAATGCCCATCGGGAGATTAGCTCCCCCTCCCCGGTGCTGCCTGTCTGTGTGCTGTGAGCAAAAAGGAGGGCTGTTGTCGTCCTCCGGAGCTGCAGACACGTTGATTTGGGGTTGTCTAACCATTTGCTTCTTTGTCTCTGTCTTCCTCAGGCGCTGGGGACGGCTCAAGTGGACGAGCGCTGCCAGCGGCTTGTTAGGGTGCTCATGAGGTGCTCAGTAGTCAGTGTAGATCCTGTGTTGCAATCAGCAGCTACATCTGGCTACTGGGTCTCTGATGGCATTTTCTGCTTCCTGTTGGCACATTCCTTTCAGATTGTGTGGTGTTATCACAATGTGTGCCTCATCCTGTCAGAATAGGACTCGCTCTTTCATGGACGTTAAAGAAGGCTCGTCACAACAGCTTGTCTCTTCGACCAGAGCGATTTGGTGGTGTTTTTGCACTTTTAGCCTAGTTTATTGTGGGTTTTTCTTCTTTTTTTTGTCCTCAAAAAATTTGATCAAGGTGAGTGAACTGTCAAAGTGTAGCTTAATTTATCTTTTTTAAGTTTGGGTTGGTAATATTTTTAATGTTTTTTCAAAAGAAGTCTGTTTGTTATATGTTAATCAAGGCTGCATTTATATGATCAAAAAATACAGTAAAACAGTAATATGAATATATTAGTGAAATAATAATATTAATAATAATAAAACGTAATTCATTCCTGTGATGGAAAAGCTGAATTTTAGCAGCTATTACTCCAGTCTTCAGTGCCACATGATCCTTCAGAAATTATTGTAATATGCTGAATTGGTGCTCAAGAAACACTTCTTACGTTGAAAACAGCTGTGCTGCTTAATATTTTTGTGGACACTGGGATACATTTTTTTCCTTCCAGGATTCTTTAATGAACAGCATTTATTTGGAACAGAAATCTTTTGTAACAACGTAATCGTCTTTGCGGTCACTTTTGATTTAATGCATCTTAGCGGAATAAATTAAATGCATCCTTGCTGAATAAAATTATTCTTTTTTATTGAATTAAATTCATTTCGATATTTTGGTAACACTTTAGATTAGGGAACACATGTTCACTTTTAACTAAGAGTTTTCCCTCAATAAACTCCTAATTTTCTGCTTATTAATAGTTAGTAAGGTAGTGGTTAAGTTTAGGTATTAAGTCGGGTTAAGGGATCTAGAATATGGTCATGCAGCATAAGGCATTTATATGTGCCTAATAAGTACAACTAAACAGCCAATGTGCTAGTAATATGCATGCTAATAAGCTAGTTAATATTGAGAATTGGTCCTCAAATTAAAGTGTTACCGAATAGCCTATTTTTAGGGTTATTAAAACTAAACGATATTTATATTTTAGGGGGAAAAATTTATTCGTTTTTTTTTATGGTTACACCACCACTTTTTTCTGTGGGCACAATTATTGGTATTCATTGACCCATATACCTTGATACTGAATGAATGCCATATTATTTTACTATTTACTGTACCTTAAGGTACTTGATAGATAATTATTTGCAGGCAAGGTTCCCATTAATCAAATTTACCCCTAAATGTCCATCCTTTTACCATTCTAGGATCAACCAGACACAATTAGTCAATCCATTGTCTCTTTTTCATTAAAAACCGTCAGTAGTTCTCTGGCCTCATGCTGTCACTGTCCCACGGTCTAATCAGACTGCTTATAGAGGGCCGAATGTTGACAGCGAGCAGGGAAAAACCACTGGAATTCAGGTTAGGAATGAACTCCCTAATGGAGTCAAGTGACCATCAGCTGGTTAAAATATGTTTGATCAATACAGTCACAAGGTCTCAGGTATGCAGAGCTGGAGCCTTTACAGAAAGGGGCAAAGACAGCCTACAATGTCTGCGTGCTCCTGTCAGTAAAACGACTTTATTGTTAACCAGTACTATAATCTTGTACATAAACGGCCTTACACTCTCAGCATCCTTGCCAACAGGAAGTATTTAGCGCTATGTGAGTCACTCTCTTTTGTTTGTCTAGCTGAGGATGATTTAATTAGTCGACGACCCAATCAAAGTGCACCTTTGGCGGCTAACAAGCACCCACTTCTAATTAATAAGACTTGAATGGAGCGCTCTGACTGATGTAGCCTAATGCGTGCCAAACCACTAAGTGGATTCGGGAAATAATAGTCGCAAAACCAGGCTTACATTTTCATGATATCTAACAGCCTTAACACAATGCTCAGGTCAAAGAAAAAGGTTTATGGTGCCGTCTGTTATGAGAAAAATGCACGATGCAGGTCTGGTTAGGTTAAAAGGGTGTGATGAGCACCTTTAAAACGCACTGGAGCCGTGGACCCCGTCTGCCTCCCTGCCTGCCGTCCTGCCTCTAGGCTAATGGGAAAGAATGAGAAATATTTGCGAGAGTGCTAACGCCATGCTTAAAAATGCCCATCGGGAGATTAGCTCCCCCTCCCCGGTGCTGCCTGTCTGTGTGCTGTGAGCAAAAAGGAGGGCTGTTGTCGTCCTCCGGAGCTGCAGACACGTTGATTTGGGGTTGTCTAACCATTTGCTTCTTTGTCTCTGTCTTCCTCAGGCGCTGGGGACGGCTCAAGTGGACGAGCGCTGCCAGCGGCTTGTTAGGGTGCTCATGAGGTGCTCAGTAGTCAGTGTAGATCCTGTGTTGCAATCAGCAGCTACATCTGGCTACTGGGTCTCTGATGGCATTTTCTGCTTCCTGTTGGCACATTCCTTTCAGATTGTGTGGTGTTATCACAATGTGTGCCTCATCCTGTCAGAATAGGACTCGCTCTTTCATGGACGTTAAAGAAGGCTCGTCACAACAGCTTGTCTCTTCGACCAGAGCGATTTGGTGGTGTTTTTGCACTTTTAGCCTAGTTTATTGTGGGTTTTTCTTCTTTTTTTTGTCCTCAAAAAATTTGATCAAGGTGAGTGAACTGTCAAAGTGTAGCTAAAAGTCTCGGGAACCCATTTCAGACGTCTTTGAAAGAAAGGATTGAGACATTGTTTCTTGTTTGACTGCTGAAGATTCAGTTTAAGTGATTAGGTAACAAAGGACAAGGCGACATGTCACATTCTCTTTGTGATTTGCCTGTCACAAGGGGCTGTCGTTGTGCAAATGTTTTTGAGTTGTTGAAGGCTGACAAAAATGAGAGTTAAATGCGCAGACATGCTGAATCGCATTGGTTTCGGAGAGCGAAGGATGAATTCTTTTGTGCTGTCGTGAACCTGGCATACAATGTAGATTTCTGTGTGGTACAATCTACAGCTACATTGTCTGCTGGGTTTCAGGCCAGCAGAAAAACCCTGCTCTGCTCAGAAGTTGAAAAGGTGAGTCGTGGAGTCGTTATGCATGCTTGAAAAAGACTTATTCCTACTACGTGAATAAAATACAATAAAAGTACTGAAAGTATAAAAACTATGATGTGTCCAATTATTTATTTTCGTGTTTATTCTTACCGTGGGTTTAGCTTGATATTTGTAGAGCTGCACGGATTCTATCCAATGACAGACTGTCAAATTTCACCAGGGATTAAAAAGGCATCCAAGATATTTCAGCCGTACACCCAGAAGAGCTTCTTATCACTATTACCCATCTGCGTCTGAATACACCCACCCACAACACACACACAATGAAAGTTAGAAGAAAAATTCAGCATTCATGCAATATAAAATCACATTCTGAAATCTACCTATATTGCGTACCGTTATGTCTTTAGGGATTCGACGCATAGAAAAACTAATGAAGAACTGAGGAAAGCCTGAAGCCTCCAGAGAACTCGGTTCATTAAGTCCTCACACAATCTGACTACGATATTGACAGAAATGCCTTGCAGGAAAGCTGTAGCAAATCTCTCACAGTCCTCAATTTGTGTTGTGTCTTTTTGTAATGCATTCATACGGCAGCGAATGCCAGCATATTCTATATCACTGCATAATATAAAAGCAGTCCAGAGAATTTATGACACTGCAAGATAATGCAATTTTATAAAACAAAACACCTGTTATGCTCCAAAGAGCACTTGTGGTTTGCTATGATTAGGTTCTTGTGAGTTTTTAAGAGAACCACATTCCAAAAGTTCCTGACCATTTGAAATTCCTTTTGTAGTCCCTGGGTGTTTCCTGCAACAAGCAATTAGTTTGTTCACACTGGTGCAAATATGCACAATCGGAACATATTTGATGTTTAACGTAGTTATGACATTGATATTTAATCATTTAGTAAATGCTTCTGTCAAAACAACTTGAGAAACATTTTGTCATAGAAGAGCTTAGTATATTCACAATGTCAAATTTCCACAGTAAGCAAACATAAGGAGTGAGATTTTGGAGAGATGAGATTTCTACCAAGCATGACACATTCAATAAAATGTCCTGGCACTCGTCATTTTCGTACCTGTTTAGGTCACGGTGTTCAGGTGCAATCACACTTAGACTTTGAACGCCATTCACTTCCATCCATATGCATGTGAGTGGGAAAACGGAAACGCAAGCACATGTGAAGTTTTGCAAACTTGTACCAAAGTTCGAATTTGGTCAACTCTGACCTAGATATTTACATAAAGTTGGTTGACCAATAGCAGAGCTAAAAGTCACAGACTGACCTCTTGGGTCCAAATCTCAGAGCTGCATACTGTTTGCAAATTTCCAAGAAAATGGTACAAGTGTATTTTTTTTTAAAAAAGTGTAAAAATTATTTTTATTTTACATTTATTTAAAAACATTTAATTATTATATTTTAAAAGTGCAACATTGCTGTCGTGACATTCATCACGATGTAACGACACATGCTCAAAGCCTAGTGACTTTTAGGCATTACAAAAAAAATGAACAGAAATGAAAGTGGAGGGGGGTCTGAATGCAGCGGGCAATTACAGCAGACGGGCACAGGTGTTTCCAATGATGCCATTTCCCCTTGCGCTACTGTTTGTACAACAGGAATATGGAGGCAGGTGGTCACGAGCCTCTGTATGCGCTCTATACTGCGAGCCACTGCTTAGCCAGCAGATACTGGAATCACTTAAAACAAAACAAAAAACAGGAACAGGGAAAACACACTCTGGCTGCTCCAGGAACAGCCACTTCCCATCTGTCTGCTCACCCCAACAGACACAGCCGTCAATGTGACTGTATTCCCTTCGTGAAGCGCTAAATTCACACCCCTCAGATGAGGGACGAAACCGTTTCACAAGTGATTAAAATGTCTGACAACTGTTACATTTTAATTGAAATACAAAATATGAATAATGATAAAAGCTTGTTTTTGCTTAAACTTGTTTATGTTTTACATTGAATTCTTACTATTAACAGATCATTAACTACGAATTTGCCTCAATAAACTACTAATTTGCTACTTATTAATAGTTATGTAGTTGTTAAGTTTAGGTATTGGGTATAGAATTAGGGATGTAGAATATGGTTATGCAGAATATGTGCTTTATAAGTACTAATAAACCGCTAATATGCTAATAAGAAGAAACTAGTTAATAGTGAGAATTGGTCCCTATACTGTGTTATCTTTACATTTTCTGAATCAAACACATGACGCTGCATTGCTAACACCTGTTGCTCTACAGGAAGTCTCGTATCTGCAAACTAAATCACAAATCATAAATGGGCGCCACTTTCTTTTCAAACAAGAACATTTCTGTTCTTTGTGAGCTAAAACTGACGTTGCAGTTATCCAACTGTCTGCAGCAACAAGTTTTTTCGCACTAACATTTCCAGAGGGGAAAGTGTCCAGGGTGAAAGTATTCCAGTAATGTAAACCTCTGAATAGCGTGTAATGGAAGTAAATCGCTCCTTTGATATCTTGTGCCGCAAGAGCTGTGTGATGACATCAGCGGGGGTCCTCCGGGGCCATGGTTGGCCTTGTGTGGAATGCTAATTGATGCTCTGTCAGGGCTTCCCTTGGGTAACTGCGAGGACTGATAGAGGCAGATTAACGTCCACGCATTTATCTGACCATCGAGACGCCTTTACATGGCTTCTCTTGAATGGGTCAAAGGTGGAGGGTGCAGTGTGGGGAGAGAATATCTGCATTGTGAGCTGCGCTGTCGTCAACACCGCATGCAGTTTTCCACCTCTTGTTTTATTTTCTCTCACCATAAATCAGATACGAATGAAGTCATGGTCGCACAAAACACACACACACACACACACACCGTAGTGTAGTTGGTTTGAATGTGGTGTAATACTCCGATAACCTGCAAAGGTCATATAGCGACATTAATCTCAGTCAGCCCTGACCTCTTCACACCCCACACAAGAGTAGATCTATTCAAATATATTATAGATATTCTTTCTACCTCCCACAGTCCTTGTAGCGCATTATAATATTGGACTGTAATGCAATACAATATGGAAATGCTGCATATAAAACACTAGGCAAAGCAGGGGATCCCGAGCATGCACTTTACATGTCTTTTATATTGGGCTATTAGTTTGCGCGCTTGGATGTGTCTTTGCACAAGGCATTAAAAGGCACTGTGGAAATTTTCTTTGGCGCACAAATGCATTCGACAATAAAACCCCACATTAAAAGAGTGCTCGCAGGAGCATTGTATTTTCTCTTAATACCTGAGTGACTCATAGAGAATCTCTTAATATCAGCGCAGCTTACGTGGACCTCAGTGCCAAGGGCAGATTAGAAACTGACGAAAGTTTCTGCATTTCACTTAGCTGCATAGACTCCATTCCATCTGCTAGCTCGGGTACCATGGAGACGAGGCCTTGTCTCGACTGAAGATTTCTGGACGGAGATGCTTGGTGCGAAAACTGCCTCTCTCCAAATGCTCTGAAAGATGAGCCAATAATTATATAGGCAAATAAATCCTTTTTATTAAAAACTGTGTTAATAGTCCCAAAGGTTGTTGTTCAAAAGCAAACAAGCTCCCTTAAGACACCACTAAATGGTCTAAGAAAAACGATTAGTATTTTGCATAATGCACATTACATACATTTAATCAGTAATACTTTAAAATAAGGTTTCATTTTTTTAACAATAATTAATGCATTATCATGATAAAGTATCATGAACTAATAAAAGTATCATGAACTAATAAAAGACATTTTTATTAATCTAGGTTAATGCATTTTATACAACTTAAAATGTAAAAATGCATTATATGTACATATTACTGTATTTTTTTTAATATTATTAACATTATTAGTAGTAGTAGTCAGTATTTATTTATTTTCTCCAGGTGCTTTTGGTATGGTTAACAAACCATTAACTACGACTTTTTCCTCAATAAACTCCTAATTTGCTGCTTATTAATAGTAAGCTAGTTGTTAGGTTTAGGTATTGTGTAGAATTAGGGATGTAGAATATGGTAATGCAGAATATGTGCTTTATAAGTACTAATAAACAGCAAATATGTTAATGTGATAAGCAACTAGTTAATAGTGAGAATTGGTCCCTATACTAAAGTGTTACCTTTGGTATTTGTTTCTGTTGTTTAATAAAAGAAAATCAATAAAAATAAGAAAAAGGTATTATTATATGTAGAGCATTAACGTTGCCTAATTAATGCAGTGTTTTCATTGTTAGTTCATGATACCTAATGCATTAAAGGAAAAAGATATTTTGAAAAATGTCTGTTTTTTATACAATAAAAATGTCAGTTTTATTGTATGAACAAAAAGAGTTGAAATGCTTTTGTGGTGTGCAAAAGAAAACGAGTCAGGTTTGGAACTATAAGAGGGTGTATAAATGTACAGAACTGCATAATTGTAAGTCCATTTAATCAAGCTTCTGTCATCTGAATCAGATCATTTGCTATGAATGATAAAAGAGTCTCGTGGGAGCCAGAAGCTGCCTATCCAGTACCAAATCTCACCCTGATATGACTCATAGCTGCGCCTAACGCCTGTGCTATGGGTTTGGTGTGACCGTTTGGCATCTCTGGTGGCCCCCTGTGTGGGTGGGAATGCATTCTGTCTGCATTACTCAGTACTAAGTACCTGTGAAGCTTTAGCAACATGATACACTCCATCAACATGCTGCAAGTCTTGTCCTGCTGTAGGGGTTTATACGTTTATCCTGTAGGTAACGCTGGCTACCTCACGCAGAGTGTACAATACACACACACATGTGCTGGTCTCATGACCGCGGCAGACTGGGCGGGAAGACGGTGGAGGGTGGGAATGTGTTAAGTGTATACATAGAGACCACACCGAGTGCAAGTCACGTATGAAGGAGTTCAGGGTCATAACGGTATCTGTGTGACATAACGTGGACCAGGAGCCACCTCAACTAGCAGATAAAAGGAACATTTTGTTTGTTGCTTCCAAGGTTATTGCTATCGAAACTATCACAAAGACAAAAACTAACAGTGAAGTAATCTTCAATAGACATAAAAATATGAGATTGAAATATAAATGTGCACTACAAAATGAATAAAAACTCATTAGAAG